ATTATGGGGTGTGGGTGGTCCGATATGCATATATACGTTCGCATTAGGTACATAATATATACCTACAATATACGCACTTCTTTTACATACACGCAGCACCTGCAACACATAAATAATATTCTACACCTCTCCGACCAGATATTATTTAGTGGAGACAACACAATCAAATATCAACGGCGCCAGTAAACACCGTATATTATATAAAATTATGAAAGCATTCTTTCATATACATATACGTACATCACACGTGTACGTCCACATATATATATATTATATACTTCAAGTCCCCTTCGATAATTCTCCAATCAAGACGTTCGGTCAAAACAAAACTATAAATTACCAGCTGTACCGTTGTCGCACCACACGAAATAATAAAAATATATCAATACTTTAATCGATGCACAAGAAGAAGGGATCAACCAAAATCACATTATATAAGGGCCACAGAGCATCGACTCGTCGCCAGTGTCTATTCCGGAGATACACATGGTCCACGACAGTATCTTTCAGGAGAAGACTCATGTACAACGTCCAAGCCAGTCAACATCACGATCTTTTTCCACTACTGTCCAAAGGATCACTGTGCGTTTATGCGTATACAATATATGTATATTGAACCATTCCTTCTTCCGGTATGTCTGTCTAAATTGGTTGTCTCTTTGTCAGTTAAATTAAAATTGTTCATCTTTTTACACTAACCTATCCATTGGTCTTTCAAAACATAAGGTTCTGTGACAGTCATCATATCATAGGTCTGTCACATCGTTACTACACATTTATGTTTTAGAACACGAGTATAGTAATAAGTGCTCTCTTAACTTAAATTACATTCGGTCGGCGGTTGGACTATACGTACTAGCTGTCACGAATGTAGGGATTCTAAGAGCTATATTAGAATATAAGTATAGAAGTAAGTGCTCTATTAACTTAAATTACATTCGGTCGGCGGTTGGACTATATGTACTAGCTGTCACGAATGTAGGAATTATAAGAGCTATATTTAGAATACAAATATAGAAGTAAGTGCTCTATTAACTTAAATTATATTCGGTCGGCGGTTGGACTATAAGTACTAGCTGTCACGAATGTAGGAATTCTAAGAGCTGTGTTAAAGATATAAATGTGTAATAACAAATATTTAACACTTTAAGTTACATTCGGTTAGTGGAGAGAGTATACGTAGGTACTCCTGTTACGAATGTAAGGATTTTGAGAATATATATGGTGACGGTCACAGGTAGAAATTGTATACGAAATCCTACAGATCACATAAAATAATATACATATATTGTCATCGTGATATCGACTGTCGAACACGACCCCGAAGAACTACAAACCACTTAAAAGAAAACCAGCTACAGTGAGGTAAGTGTTTAAATGTTTATATAATAAAAGTAGGTAATTCAAATATCATTAGACAGTTAGGTATAACACAGTAGTAGGGAGATCATACGCGGAAATCTCCAATATTTATTATAACACACATATCTCTGCCCCATAACCTTTACCTTCCCCTACCGCATATTCTCCCCTTAAACTAATTTGTCCCCCGCTTATTTTCTCCTTACTACAAATGGTGCCCAACAATTAGGCATCGCTATCACTTTGACAATAATCTTATTTAAAATAAAAAATTTCAAAAAAACCCCAAACACGCAGATCGCAAATGAATACTATTAATGAACGAAGCTGATATTATAGAAAACCATTTACATACAAAGCAAAACAATATGACATCTGATAGAATACCATTTTATAAACCAATCAAATTTTCGGGTGATATTCACGAAAACGTAAACACATTTATTCAAAAATATAATAAAGCCAGTAGCCTTATTTTTTGGACTCCGAAACAAAAAAAAATCATTTCTAGCCATAAATCTACAAAACACGGCATCCGCATCTTTCTTAGACAATTACGAAAATTGATGCCCAACCAGATATCGTTGTCACTACGATTTTACTAAAATAATCACAATTTTCAAAACATTCCTCAAACAATTAATATTTGATTTAAATATCACTTTTCGTAATATTTATCATTGAAATTATAACATACATTTTTATTTAATTTTGACTCTCTATATCTTAATTATCTTAACATTTAAAATATTAAACATTTCGACTAATATAATTCACAAAAATAATAATTCAACCTCACATTAAGGACCTCATATTTGATTAAATTCAATAAATATAAATACAATTATACTTTGTAATAAACTAAATTTAATAAGTATAAAATTAAAAATTAAAAAAAAAAAAAAAATACATTTTGAATAGTTCTTTCTAAGGAACCTCAAGACAAAATTTTAGATAATAGAAATAACCAACACCAACAATTATTTCACATTAACAAAATACATTAAACATAATATAAATAAAATTTAATTATAATAAATCATTAAACTTTGTAGGTTCTGTGCATATTACATTGAACTAGGTATTTACAACATAAAATAACACGTTAGAAAATTAATTTCCTTTCAAAAAAAAAAAAAAAAACTTTAAGCAACCCAAATACTGTACACACAACAGTTCTAAAAGCTTTAAAATAATACATTTATAAAACATAAATCCTATAAAATAATCCTAAATATTATTAAAAAATTAAAATATTAAAATATAAAAATAATAATGAATTAATCAAACAATATCACAGCTTAGAAATATTTCTAAATAAAAATCCTTGTAAAAAAAAAACAACATGTCAAAAAGAATAACCTTTTATAAGCCTACCAAATTTTCGGGAGCTATCAATGAAAGTGTAAATGTATTTATCGACAAATACAACAAGGCAAGTCGTATTAATGGCTGGTCTTCCGATAAAAAAGTATTATTTCTATGTATTAACCTACATGGCACAGCAGCAACATTTTTAGACAATTTTGAGAATAAAAATCCGACTAGCACATGGACAGATTTAGAAAATGCACTTCGATTAGAATTTGAGCCCATAGCAGAAAAATATATGCTTAAAACTATGCTACAAAAGAGAAAACAGCTACCCAATGAATCAATACCCTCTTACATCAATGATGTGCAACACTTATGCAATAAAATTGACCCTATGATGTCACAATCAGACATAGTGTATACAATAATGAAAGGCTTAAGACCAGAAATTATCAAATATATAAGAGTTTTAGACAACAATAATTTAGAAGATTTAAAAAGAAACATTAAAAAATATGAATCTATAGAATTTATGATAAATAAAAAAATAAC